GGGAAAATTCGGGAAATATTGATGCGGGATAAAAAAAAAATAAATAATACTTTGCCGCATCAATTATTTGGACAGCATAACACAATGCAAATCTGTGACTTCAGATACATTTCTTTAAGAAACTATAAAATTTAATCTAGTTTTTATACAATATTTATTATTACTAGCCAAATATAAACACGCCCTCCCTCACCGTTTATTTTTTTTTTTAAAGAGTGATAATCTAATAATTTGTGCTCTTAGCAGTCGCTGAACACAATGAAAAAGAAAATGATTAACTTAGAAAATATTAAAGAGGACAGTTGTTCTTTATCACTGTGTCCCACTATAGCCAATTTGGCAACCATTGGACACAGTAAGAAAGAATAGGATTATCTTGGAAAATATTAAAAGATATTTATAGTTTATCACTCTGTCCCACTGTAGCCAATTTAGGGCACTGAATAAATTGTTAGATTATCACTCCCCCGCTCCCCCCCCCCCCGGGAAAAATTCTTGAAATATTGATTTGGGAATAAAAACAAATTTTTTTTTTCCGCATATCAATTATTTTAACAGCATAACACAATGCTATTTTATGACTTGAGATGCATTTCTTAAAAAAAAAACTATAAAATTAAACCAATTTTTATACAATATTTACTAGGCCTATTACTAGCCAAATATAAATGGTCCCTCCCTCATCAATAAAAACAAAAGCGCAGTAACGAATTGTTCTGATTAAAAAAAAAAACAAACAAACAAAAACCGCCCTCCCTCATCGTTTTTTTTTAAGGAGTGATAATCTAATAATTTTTTCTTTGTGCTCTTAGCAGCCATTGAACACAATGAAAAAGAAAAGGATTAACTTAGAAAATATTAAAGAAGACAGTTGTACTTCATCACTGTGTCCCACTATAGCCAATTTGGCAACCATTGGACACAATGAAAAAGAATAGGATTTTTTTTTGAAAATATTAAACAAGATATTTATAATTTATCACTGTGTCCCACTATAGCCAATTTAGGGCACATAGGAAAAATTATTTGATCACTATTTTTTTAAATCAGAACAACTGCTTCTTTTAATAGATGAGGGAGGGACTTCTTTATTTGGCAAGAAATTTTGGCATCAATATTTCCCAATTTTGTTGACGCGGGCTGGAGTGATCTAATAATTTTTTTGTATAGGCATAATTATGATCTGTTCATTGTGCGTTCGATTTCGATAATGATAGGAATGATAGGAGCACTGTATGATCAATGTGCGCCAAAATAAATAGATGATTAACGTAAAAAGTATGATGCCGTTTATTTGTACAATACTGCTATTGTTTCTAAAATTTGGTGGAGTAATGTAGTTCATGTGGTTATCATTGGAAAGTTATTGATCTATTAGTAAATTCTATAATCTGGTTGTTGTACGCATATATATATATTTTTTACATTTTTCATTTTATTTCTTTATTCATGTTCTTTGCAATTCATGACAAAGTAAACTCAACCATACATATTCAAAAACAGAGCGACGAAAAGGACCT